TATTTAACTCAATAAGACAATGGTAATGGTTTGGGAAAGAAGTAGACAGAATTCTTCGTATGATTGAATGAGGTAGATAAGACAAGAGAGGTCTTGGAAGGATAAATAACATGCTTTGCCATACTGAATTTGAATACTGTTATTATAAAGGACTTGGATATTCTTGTGTGGCCCTGAGATGTGAGAGGGTGAAGGTGGACTTAAATATGACTTGGAAAGATTCCTGTGAGAAGAGTCCATTCTAGCATTTCAGTAGGGTTAAACGGGGTGCCACTGGACAGGTGACAGGTACATCCAGGAAACAGAACTTCATGGTTTCTAAGCCTAGACTTATTCTACCCATCACTGCCTATTTCCCCATCTGCCTCCACACTAGATTAACTCTCCAGAGTTACATACAAGGAAATGAAGGAAATGGAGACCCACTTGACAAAGTATCATGCCAGTACCAGACATTTGCCCAGAGGTGAGATGGGAGCCTTTATGACATAATAAGGACTAGCCACTCCCCATTATTGCCTCAGGAAGGACTGAAGTGTATGACAATAGCCAGTGGGAAGAGTTATGGACTTCAACCTCAGGATACTACATTCTTTGAGAGAATGCTAGGAAAGGGAGCACCTGGCTGAAGAAAGCTGAAGATGTAACAGAGAAAGCAGAACCTCATCAGTGGTTTCATGGACTATTTTAGAACATTTTCAAGAAGGAGAGGGTTATTGTCACTTTAGGGCCCCCATGTAGAGAAGTGAGAAGAAGCCATTGGATTGGCTAGTGGTCATTTTCTGATGACTTGCTGATGTTCCAGAGAATGGAGGTGTGTAACTCTGGAGAGTCAAACTAGTGTGGAGGCAGATGGGGACATAGGCAGTGATGGGTAGAGTCAGTCTAGGCTTGGAAACCATGAAGTCGTGTTTCCAGGATGTACCTGGACATCTCCAGCAATACAGAAAGTTCTGAATTATATGTTATTTAGTTGTTTAATTGAATCTTTTGTCCTCTTAACGTACCCAACTACAGATATGCTCTTATGAAAAATTAATGTATGTTTTTATTCAATTAGATGCTTCATTTTCCAGAAAGTATACTTGCTGGAATGAGTGACTTAAATAGAGTATGTGCATTGTCAGAGATAGTTTGGCTTATTTGTGGTTTGATTTCCACAGTTTTTTGTTTTGTTTTATTTACCTTTCTTATCTGTAAGTTAGTATTCAGTGCTAGACAATCTTATTTCACTTCAACAACTTTTTTTCCCCTGAGATAGCTCTGGGGAAACAGCTCTGGGTGTCTTGGAACTCACTCTGTAGACCAGGCTGGCCTCAAACTCAGAGGCCACCTGCACCACTGGCCCTGCCCAGCACCACCACCGCCTGTTCCAGTTGGCCAAATCTTAAGCCTCCATGTTGGCCTGTTCTTGTGGTATTTTCCTTAGTTCTGGTTTGTTTTTGCTTGTTTTGTTACCTTTTTGCTATAGAGCTAGTACCCATTAGACTCCATGATATCCCTAGCTTATATCTCATTCATTTTCTCTTTTTGCCCTCCTCTCCCTGCTCACAGTCACATGTAGCTCAGGCTAGCCTGGAACTTGTAATTTACATTGTCTTCAGCTCCTGAGTTCAGCGTTTTACAAGCATGTGCCACCCTGTACTGCCTGAAACTCAGCTTCCCTGTCTCTCTTTTTAAAATAAACATGCCCCTTTTAATATATAATTTATTTAACTTTATTTTCATGTGCTTTGGTGTGAAGGTGTCAGATCCCCTGGAACTGTAAGTACAGACAGTTATGAACTGCCATGTGGGTTCTGGGAACTGAACCTGGGTCCTCTGGAAGAGAACAGCCAGTGCTCCCAACTGCTGGGCCATCTCTCCAGCCCTGAAGCTCAGCTTCTTAAACTATGAAATTAAGTGAAATGGTAATGATGCCTCTAATTAGGACATTCAGGGTGAATGAATGCAAAAGGAACTTGTGAATTTGGGGAGAGGAAAACACCTTCCTAAATTTAAATGAGGAGTGATAAATTCAATTAAAAATTTCAGAAGTGAGAAGTTGGAAAGGGAGTATGTGTTTCTGAAGTTTTGAGGAGGCCATTTACCAAAGGGAGCCAGCCTACTGTCCCTTTAGTACCTTACAAACAAATGTGCTAACTTTTCATCGTGTGCATGCCCGCTTCTTGTTGATGTCTGTAAGTAGTACTTAAAGTGTTTTTCTCATTCGAATTGCAAGAATCAACTTTCCCTACATATTTTAATGGATATCAAAACTAAGAGGAAGAATGTATATATAAGTATAGCTAGAAATAATAATAGAATAACAAATAAAGGAAATGATTTATTTTAGCATTTATTTGCATTTCACCATGCAGACAAAAAGAGGACAAATGATTTGTCTTCGTTAGGGTTTCTGTAGCTGTGATAAAATACCATGACCATAAACAACTTGGGGAGAAAACTTAATATATTCATCACTGCCCATTTCCTCATCTGCCTCCATACCAGATTAATGCTCCACTGAGTTACTTCAGTTTACAGCTCTCAGGTCACACACCATTGATGAGGGAAGTCAGGGTAGGGACCTGAGGCAGGAACTGATGCAAATCATGGAGGAATGCTGTTTACTGGCTTGTTCCCCATGGCTTGGTCAGCCTACTTTCTTATAGCACCCAGGGCCACCAAGCCCAGGGGTGGCACTGCCCACACTTAACTGTGCACTCCTACTTCAGTCACAGGCTTGCTCACAGCCAATCTAGAGGGAGCATTTTCTCATCTGAGGTTCCCTTCTTCCAAAAAGCTTCTGTCAAGTTGACATAAAACTAGCCATCAATGAATGGATGACATAGGTGTTGTGTAACTCCTGGGGACTTGGCATTGTAATTGGGAAACAGACATGCAGCTGGGAGCATATAAGCAAGTGGGAAGTCATAGTGAAGGTGAGAATGATAGTGAGTACAAAGAAAAGAGAAAGGGCATCTTGGAGGCTTCTTGTATGGGGTGATCTGACCTAGGCCTCTGATGGCTGAGTTTTGTAACCATTGTGGTAGGAAGGTGCCTCCTGTACCAAGGTCATAGCCCAGGCAAAATTGGGGAGTCCACGGTAGCTCTGGATGGGAGTGGTGAGTTTTGAAGGTACTGGGACAGACTTGGGAGGTTTGATAGCAATAGTGCTCTAACCTGCTGAGTGTTCTCTTCAACCCCCTTAGTTAGGTAAATCATTTCTACTAGGTCATCTAAAGTTTTTTTTAAACAAAATTTCATTTTCTTGGGAGGAGGTGGTTGTAGAATACATTTTTTGTCTCAATGGTATATAATATGTTTGTGTTACTGTGAATGTTTTTAACCAGCATATTTCATTTTTATTAGAAGGCATGGTAGACATGTTGAGTACTAAATTCTGAATGGTAAATGTTAGGAGCATGGTAAAGAGGTTCAGTCAGAATTGGAAGTATTTGAGAGGGGGTGAGGTATAGCTGCATTGGCAAGGGAGTGTAATAGTTAGCTAGGTACCAACAAAAGGGAAGCTGGAAGTCTTACGATGAAAATGGGGACTTACAGAGAGAATGGAGAATCAAACAAGACACAGCCACCTCAGTTTTGGTACTTTTAAGACCAGCTGACACCATTGGTAGTGTGACAGAGATTGTGAAGTATCCATCCTAGCTCTACTTGAAGTCTTCTTCCTCTGTCACTTGCAGCTTATTTGTTTCTGTGGCAGCCAGTTACTTTACTAGGCTCTATCTCACCAAGTCTTCTACTACTGTCTCAGTGCTCTCTCTCTCTCTCTCTCTCTCTCTCTCTCTCTCTCTCTCTCTCTCTCTGTCTGTCTCTCTGTCTCTGTCTCTGTCTCTCTCTCTCTCTCGCTCTCTCTCTCTCTCTTCTCTCTCTTTCTCTGTCTCTTGTATTTTTTTGTGTTTTTTTTTGAGACAGGGTTTCTCTGTGTAGCTTTGGAACCTGTTAGCTCTTGTAGACCAAGATGGCCTCAAACTCAGAGATCCGCCTGCCTCTACCTCCAGAGTGCTAGAATTAAAGGCGTGCGCCACCATCGTCCGGCCTGAGTGGCATCAGGGTTCCTTGGTGTGTGTTGGTCCATTGTCCTGGTTCTGGCTCTTTTCTTTTCTAAGCTCCACTATCTTAACCTGCTTTCCTGAAGCAGATACACTTTTCCTTGGAGTCAAGGCTGCTTCCTAAGGGCAGCATGTGGCTAAAATGGTCATTGAGACATGGTTGTAACATAACACACTAGCAACATTCAGGCTCTTAGTTCCTGTTTTCCCTGTGTTATCCTTATTTTGTTGTCTGGGACATGGTTCTCAGCTACCCAAAATTTGGGCAAGTTTAATTCCCAGTATAATTTTTTTTTTTTTGGTTTTTCGAGTTAGGGTTTCTCTGTGGCTTTGGAGGCTGTCCTAGAACTGGCTCTTATAGACCAGGCTGGTCTCCAACTCACAGAGATCCACCTGCCTCTGCCTCCCCAGTGCTGGGATTAAAGGCATGTGCCACCAACGCCCAGCAATTCCCAGTATAATTTTATAGCTGTGCCTGCATGTGAAAGTTAGAAAAGAAGGGTGGGCAGGTAATCTTGACAGAGGAAAAACAATAATTAAAATACAATATTTGATGTAGGGGCGTTTTTAGGCTGAGATAGATCATTAATAGCAGTTAGGTATTTTAAAATTAAAAATACAGATGTAGTCAAATGCTTTTTTTAACATTTAATTCTTTTTACAAAAATTATGAAAACAGGTATACGCCTGCAGTCCTAGTTACTCTGTAGGCTGAGGTAAGAGGATTAAAAGTTCAAGGTCTGGCCTAGACTACAGAGCAGGTTCAAGGTCAGCCTGGGCAATTTAGTGAGACCCAGTCTCAAAAGTAATAAAAGGGCTGGGGTTATGTAATTCACTGGTAGAGCCCGCATAGCATATGCACTGCCTTGGGTTCAGTCTGTAATACTATAGGGGGAAAAATCATCAAAACAAATGTACCTCACTAATGTGAGCTTCGATTTTTTTTCCTCTGCAGAAAATAATGATGCTTGAATTGAGCTACTAAGGTAAGGTTCATAACCTGTGTTTTATGTTTTTTATTCAGATGTCTTTATTTGTAGAATTTAGCTTATTAAGTTATATTAAAGTTGATGAAGATTATTCCTTATAGACAATCTTTCCAACTGTGGAATATCAGATCTCATATTACATTTATTTTTAATCTGAATTTTTAAAGTTACATGGTAGGATATTTTTATCCCTTTAGCTTATGCTAAAGAAATCTCAAAGGTTCTGCTGCTTTTAGAAAAGAATAGAGGGGCTCAGTGCTTAATAGTATTTGTACTCAGCTGGACTTGGTGGCACACTCCTTTAATCCCAGCACTTAGGAGACAGGCAGGCGGATCTCTGTGAGTTCGAGGCCAGCCTGGTCTACAGAGTGAAGTTACACAGCAAACCACATCTGGAAAAAACCAAACCAAAACAAAAAAATTAATTAACTAAAAGAAGTGTTTGTACGTAGCAGTTTGGTTCCCAGCACCCAGGTAATAAGCAAGAGCAGGAGACATTTTTTTTATTTCCATAAGCTTGCTGTGATTATGTTAATGAGTGGATTGAACAAGGCTGGCTTCTCTTAAATATCATTGGGAACTAAGATGGTTTATATATTTATTATTACACCATGTGTATTTGTGTACAACTCTAAGGTTAGAATCAAAGAGGTGTTCATGTGTGTTAATAATGTTAGGAAAGCCCATTTGTTCCCAAGTAGGAATGTCTGGGAACCCCCAAACAGTAAATATGCATGTAAAAAATATTACTTGGTGTGTGGAATTTGCAAATGTAAAATTTCTTTTTAAAATGTCATGTCTAGAAAATCCCACATAATTAGGATCACTACAATTATGTAAGTCTGTTTTACTCTCACAACAGATCATGATACTTTAGTGATCCCATACAAAGAACAACATTGATGGGAAAAAGTAGCGGCAGTGACCAAGCTGAGAAGGTTTGAGGGCACAGCAGTGATTTTTGGGGTGGGAGTTGAAGCAGCACCAAGCTGAAGGAGTGGTATGTGCTTTGTCAAAAGCATAGACAGTGAGTTATTGTACGACATTATTCCTGTGAGTAAAACATCCACTCACTCAGATAGGGAATTGACAACAGAACCACTAAAGACTAGCTTGGTGAATCAATGTGTTTTGTTGGAGTTACTTACAGGAATATGGGTGAGGGGTTACTTAAAGGAACAGAAGTGCCCATAGACACCTGCATCCCTTCCCATTATTGGTAACAGCTTGTGAAAGTTAGAAAACCTGGAGCTCACTGCACAGCCTGCAGGTAGCTCAACAGGTTGGAGTGTCCTTTCCTGCTGGCTAGGTTCATCTGAGCCTTTTCTAGGCAGCTATGCCACTCTTTGTTCTCTTAAGCCAGTGGTTTTTAACCTTCTGTTGTGGTGACCCCCAACCATAAAATTATTTTTGTTGTTACTCTATAACTGTATTTGCTACAGTTCTGTATTGTAATGTAACTAATATGCAGATGGTTGACGGACCCTTGTGAAAAGGTCATTCTACCTCCAAAAGGTTGCAATCCACAGGTGGAGAACCATTGTTCTAAGCACTTTAGCTAGCCTCTGCTTCTTCCAGGTGTCTGGGCTAGTCTGTGAGTGTTATTTGAAGCTTTGCTTGTCTGAGAATGACTCTCAGCAGACAGACAGACAGACAGACAGACAGACAGACAGACAGACAGACACACACACACACACACACCTCTCTC